GGCCCCTGTCCATTCCTTTATTCAGGTGGGTGACATATCTGGGGTAACTTGCAACGGGCCCACTTCGGGGTAACACGAGCTTACCCATGACGAATGTTTCTTACACGGGATCCTCAATTCAGCAAATTGTGGGTAGTGATCCAGAAGTAGATCCCGGGTTACTTGAAACAGCAGCTCCAAAGTCAACCTCATAGAAATCGTGTTTATCAGTACCAGAGCTTACCAAGGTTACAGAGTGACGACTGTTGATAACCAACCATTTGACAACCTCAAAGAGTCCCATCTCAAGGACATGGACCTTGCCTGGTCCAGAGAAAACAGTTTCATGATTGGATACATGTCCATGGTTTTTCCCATTGCCCACAGTTTCCTTTACGCTCCAATGAGAAGGCCTATGATTAGCCAGTCAACCAGAATTCAAGCCCCTGATCCACTGGGATACGGATCGCATTCCACGTTCCCACAGTTTCCCCACAGGTTCCGCAGATATACTCACACTCATAAATGGCTGTGGCTCAAGTAAATGGAGACCAAAATGGCACCAAAAGGTAAATGGTTCACCAAAGACTAAAACCTGCGGTTTGCCCTGGCTCCTTTTATTTGAGCCACTGCCAAATGAGTGCCGATCCCTGGCATTTGTTTGTCCATCCGGAGGCAGCTGAGGCGCTGGCCCCTTTGCGTGACGCGAACGTGGCGGAACTGGAGGAGCATCGTGGGCGAAGCGATCCGCTTCCGAAAGTTTTTGGGCGTTAAACTCTTTAGGATGGTCAATCGAGTGGTACACCTGTGTTTGATTTGATTGGTATTTTTGGACATTCGGGAAGGCAAAGGAAATGGTTTAGGTCTACTTCTCACCTTCCCCAGTTTCCGGACTCAGCTCCATGTACCTGATGGAACCTGATGGCTTATTTTCCGAAACTCTTTTGGGATGACCAGCCTAGTGGTAAACAAAACGTCCAGGAACTTGTTTCGATCAATCCACTCAAGTGAGCCCAAGTTGTTTGACAAGGATTCCCTTGACCTACACTTTGCAAAGAAATAGTAGCCTTGTCACCAACTGATCAAATCCTCATTGGGAAACAGAAGGTATTTGTGTGAGGGCTGAGAAAGCATTCTCCATCTTGTGGAGGACTAGACTTATCTGATAAGCTGACTGTCCAGCCGGGATTGAACTTGTTGGACCCTAGGATGAAGCAACCAAACAGCAACATGCACACCTAAGACCTGGGAACTGAACAAGTAAGAGGATCACTCAGCTTTCCCTTATCCAATTCCTGCCACGGAGACCCTGCGCGGAAAAAAGGAAACAGCCCCAGACCCCAAAAGGCAGGAATGTATGATGGTTAAGCCTCATGTAGGGCAACCTTGGCCGATCAACTGCGCCAGTCAATATGAGAGAGGCAGCCAGATACTGATTTTTGCTCATGAAATCATGGCAGCCCACGAATGGATTTGGTCGTGAGCGCAAGCCAGAGCAGCCACCCCCCAACCCCAAACCCCAAACGCCAAGCCCCCAATTCCCCTCTCGGAAACTGGGGACTTTCCGCCTTTTGTGCGAGGCTTGAAAATGGACCGGGCTATCTGAAGATTCCTTCCGAACGGACACCGATGTCCCACTTGCAACCGAAGGGAATCGGCGGACTCTCCGTTTTGCTTCAGCCAGTTTTTGGAGCTGCAATGTGGGTTTGTCCCAACATTGGGTGACCCCCAAAATGAGCTTCAGATTCTCTTCTGTTCCCGTGGAAAGCCTCCAACACAAGGTACCGAGTCTCAAGACAAGACACCAACATCATGGCAACCCAATCTGGGGCCTTCTCCTTCTCCTGAACATTCCCCTGAATGGGTCTGGTGGCTTGACCCACATGCGTCCACTTTCATGTCCATATATATATTCGATTTCACGCCCATGGTGGAAACCAGGGTTTCCCAGTTTCAGGTTGCCACTTTCCGCAATACCCTTGGGCAATCCCCTTTATCTTGATAAAGTGGTCATGAGGATGGACAACTTTGTCGCAATGTTGACACTGGGCTATCGATACAGTAACATTTTCCATCTTTGACTAAGGTGGTAGTACGACAAGACATGATTCCTAGGTTTAAGGCTGACGATTAACTAAGCTCAACTGTTTGCGGCTCTTCGACAACCATGCAACGGCCCGCCAGGCGTTGAAGGCCCAAGATGCGCGGGATGAGCTCCAGGCGAGATGAGTTTTGGGGATGAGGGGGCAATGAGGGACGGCTTTGGAAAAGCAACGGGACTCGGCACTTCAGAGTCTGTCTCTGACTGCTGTGCTTGCAAGAGGGTTTCTACATTCTTGATACTTGGTTCTAGAACGTAGAGGCAAGCCCTCCCCCCCGGATTTTTCCAAATCCGCCTTGGGACCGCTAGCTGTATTTGGAAAACAAGGACTCTCCATCACAAGAGGGTTTCTAAACGAAAGAAAGGCAGGCTTCGACCACCTCGAATGCAAAACCAGAGCACGACGCAAGTGCAACATCATCGTCAAGCTCTGCTTGACGTCGCATGGCGGCGGAGCTCCACAAATCGACGCGGAGCTCAAGCTGGCACGCGCGGCTGTACGAGGCAACGCTGTGATCACAAGCTCGCAGACAGCCGCCCTTTGACCGGGAGCTGGGGAAGCATCGTGGAGTTGGGCTTTGCAACACATTCGCACCGTGCCATGCAGAGTTCATCTTCACTTTTGCAGGGCCCCTTTACCCTTTAGGTCACAAGGAACACCCTCAGTCAGTGCGAGCTGGTTGCAAGTCGGATTCCAAAACCGGGATCAGTTCAAGGCCTGTGAAGGAAAACAATGTATACCCGAGACTTAGTATGAAAGAAAGGAGGCCAACGCCAAACCTGTTGAGGCAGCAGCAAGTTTGCTGAGACTGTGAGTTGGCCAATATTGAAATGATTGCAAAATCACATCTCCAACTCTGATGTCAGAAGAGATGTGAGTCATAATCGACGTTGGTATGAAAAGGAGTCCAACCAGCTCGAACAGAATGACACCGGCATTGGAAAGCCGTATATGGCAAGGGGACTATCTCCTGATTCACCTTCGACCCTGGCTTTGATTGGGGCGCTTGCAACCAGAGGGCTTCGTGCCCCGTTTTTCAACTTCGGAATGGGTACACTTTCAGGACTTTTCCATTTGTTTCTCCGTGATGGTTAATTTTCCTTAGCCAACTACCAACGAAGGTCAGGTTAGCATTCCACCCCTCCAACTTAAGTTTGTGGTCTTGTTTAACAAATTGGCAACCGACAAAGGCAGTCCGCTTTTGTCCTGCTTCTTCCGGAACTGTGTTTTGCCTCCAACGTCAACGACCAAAGGAGGTCAAGTATTTTTGTTGTTAAAGGAAGGCGTTACACCTTTGAGCCCCCATTCTACTGTTGTGCATAGGTTACATTTGCGTACACGTTTTTGATTTGCTACTTCTGATTGTAGCAAGCAAAATCCACCGAAGAGATTATATTGTTGTTGACCTCCAAACAGCAGTGGTTCCCGACTCAGCAAGACATGACAAGTAAACGTGGCGGCACTTCGATCAAATGAAGCTATTATAAGGGTAGATTCCTCGTGATCTTTGCCAATCCTTCTTTCTGCACACTCACACTACCTGTTCAATGTCCAAGCTGAGCGCCTGTTGCTGTTGGGTGTCTCCCTCATTTTGGTCAAACAGGTGTAGTCACTTTCGGGGCAGTGAGCTCCACAGACCAGTCCAGATCCTCGGGTGATTGCGCAGGTTTTTGCGGCTCATGTTACTTGAACGCTTGGTCGTTTGGAGGTTCCCACCGTTGAGTGAGTGTGGTTTGTACTTACATGTATTTACTTGGATCAATATGATAGAGCTTTCTCATCCCCACATAAGTAACAAGAAGCCACTATGCGTGTCCCTTCCTTCTCAGTTCCCCGGTTTCCGAACTTCATACGCGTTTTGGAGTATGACTTCAAGACAAGCACACATAGGCGTTTCTCAACAGAGGTGACCTCTACACATGCAGTACAACAAACATATATGCATAAACTGTAAGGAACTGATGACACTATGATTATGCATCATTCATCAATGCAACATAATATGAGAGTTTGAAATATGATGAATGTCATGACATAAATAGTATATTTGGATTAGCATATATAATTGATTGTAAAACATGTTATTTCTCCAAGTGGCTGGTTTGCTTTTGGCTTCCCGTCCAACCTAGCGCTTTAGTTTGAGACTTCGGCTTCCCTGCAGATCAACTTGGAACCGGACAATAACAATTTCGCAAAGGATTCGCCTTTGGGGCGCAAACGCGGAGTTCCTCTTTTGGGATTGAACGAAGGAAGCCGAAAGGGAACTACCGACCGGGGTTTCCCTATTTTGGGAAACACGAAATGCTGGATCCAAAGTTTTGCGACGGGATTTGGACACCTCTTTGGGGCCCGTCTGGCCTCAGCCAAGACCTGTTAATCGCCCCCACGCGGGGAACCTCTCCCTGCTGTTGGACCCGTGATCCAACTCGAGGTAAGAGCCAACTGGAGTTTGTTCTCCAAGCAACCCGGAAAGCATACAAGGGGCTAAATGATTGCTCGCATTGCTCTCCTACAACTATGACCATCGAATTTATGGTCCCCCAAAGCCCTTTTCAAAATTGCTTTGCCCTCAAATTAGAAACCCCGTTTTGCCAGCCCCGCACCCAATGGCTCCGAAATGGAATAACAGCCCTACCGGTGGTCACTAAAGCCGTTTCATAGCTGGGGTCTGGTCCAGTGTAGTCGAACCTGTTGTTAGACGTCCTCCGAATCTCAGGACCGCCTGGACGCTTGGACCAACTTTTTGCGGAGGCCTGCTTTCGTTGTGTTTCAAAACGTTGCGGGCATGTTTGAGGCGTCCATGTGAGACCCGCAGTGGTGCATTTCAGCTTTTTGATTTGTTTTTGGCTTGGCTGTGCAAACGACAGTCCCAAAAAAGGTTCTTTTGGCTGCAAGTTTAGCCTCACGTTTCCCGTCTAG